AAAGTAATCTTCTTACTGAGGCCTTCCCTGACCATTCTATTTTAACTTGAATCCCCAGCACTCCTACTTCCCTTTCCCTGCTTTATTTTTCTTGCCAGATCATATTACTTTCTAACTTGTTCTATATTTATTTGTTTACAGTTTAGAAAGGTGTCTCTGGGCAAAGCAGGAGAGTCTTGGGTGAGATTTTCTTTATCAGATTAAGGAAAGTTTTCTTTGAGGTTTCTTAAGTGTTTTTTTCTATATGTATTAACATAATTAGATTTTTCCGTTTATTCTTTTAGTAGGAATTACATTGCTAGAGGTTTCTCAATTTCTTTTTTCAAAGAACCAGCTTCTGGCTTTGTTGAACTTTTCTGTTTTAGGTTTGATTTCTACTTCATTAATTTCTGGTCTTTATTATATCCTGCTTTCTACATTCTTTGAGTTTAATTTTATGCCCTTTTTCTAAGTCCTTGTGTTGGAAACTTAGATTTGCATTGATTTATCAGCCTTTCATTTATTCTAAGATATGTACTTAAAGCTAAGGCCACCTTCATGGGTGTGCCACCCGTGCAGTCACACAGGGTTCCCTACTCAAAAGGACCCTGCTTAGTTTAATGCTGTTGCCATCTTGAAATTCTTAATTTTATCTTAGTATTGTGTTTTTAGAGTGAAATATAATGGGACAAAAGAGCGTACATATTAACAGAGGAGATATATACAATATGTGTGTCTGAAGTTCCTTGCTGCCCTATTTGCATGTAGTTTTGTAATGCTCCATGTGCATAGCATTCTGGCATTGCATAATGTAAAGATGAACAGTAAAAATTCAGACTAATAATTAAAATTTTTCTTTCATTAAAATTCCATTAAGTAGAAAATAAGAAGCACCATGGCAAATTGAGAGAGAGACTGTGGCAGAAAGGAGAAGGCTTTATAAATTTTCTTTTTCTTTTTTTCTTGGCTTAAACAGCAGAAATTTATTTCTTCACAGTTCTGGTGGTTAGAAATCCAAAATCAAGAAGTTGACAGTGTTAGTTTGAACCTCCCCCACCCCGCCACACACACAATGTTTTGAACAAAGGGCCACAAAGGGCCATGCATTTTCATCCCCACTGGGCCTGGAAAATTATGTAGCAAGCGCTAACATTCTCTGGTCCATTTCCATGTTTTAATCTCCCAACCTTGGGAGTCTGTCAAAGACCTTGGTCATCTTGTCACTCACATGCCTCCTCCTGAATTAGAAGATATTTCTAGGGGAAATGTGGTCTCCAAAACTGGGTTCTCCTTTCTGGGCTTCCTTCTCTCAGATCTTGGCCCTATATTTTTTCTTTGTCTTGGGTAGGTCTCCAGTGCCTCAAAAACAGATTTAAAAAACTTCTATATAGCTTTTCTAATTGTTCTCAATGGAAGGGTTAATACAATTTACCTAGATGCTATTTTTGAATGTGGAACTCATGTTTATATGATGCATTTTTGCTTTTCCTTGAACTTTTACCGTTATCCTTTATCTTTGTCATTTTCACCCCCTGTATTCACTTGCTTACTTTTTCACTTCAGAAAACATGTCTGAATTGGGTACCGACTATGGGCTATTTATTACATACTGAGAACTAAGATAAAAACAAGATATCATCTCATTTTGTTAGATTAGTATAACCCCTTCGAAAAAGTGTTAATATCTACATTTAATATATGAGAAACCAAAGGTCCTGCAAATTAAATATCTTGTCCAAGGTCAAAAAGGACAGAGTTTGTAGCAGAGCTTGGACTTGATCTTGGAATACCTAACTCTTTTTGAGAGTTCTTTTCATTATATTTCATTGCTTGATAGAACCTTAGAGAGACTTTGGCTTACTCTAGCTCAGAAACAGATTCCGCTATTCAAAAAAGAGACAGTGTGAAATAGTATGAAAAATTCTCCAAATGCTTTATACTATGGTAGATTAATTAGCCAGTAGTCATTACAATTCATCCCTTTTGTATAGGGCTTAAAAATTTACCTTGTAGTTTCACAAACTCTCTCATTTTTAAGGTTGGTATTAAGAGATAAGTACTTCATAATAAAGGCATTGAGCTTCTCTGTAAGACCTGATTTTGCCTAAGTTGGATTGAAATTTGCATTATAGTAGAGTCCAGAATTCTAGAGTGTTTGAAGATAATGTAGAAGTTATCTAATAAATAAATATAAATAATATATACAA